TCAGGTCGTGGGTGAAAGCCGGGACTTCGGGGGCCGAGACGCGACGCCCGAGCGTAGGGTTGCCGCTAAGTCCTCAGCCGGGCGCTGCAGCCCCCTCGGCGGTGGAGAGCATCCCGGGTGCCGCGACTCGCTGTGTTCCTCGAAGCAGGGCTGGGGAGCGCAGCTTTCACCGACGCGCCGGCTGCACCTGCTCTGCGAATGAATGAGGTCGAGCGGATGATTCCCGCGGTGCTTGCTGGTTTTTAAAATGTTTCTCCATCTCCGGTGATCCGCTGTATTGTCGGATATTTATCCGCAGCTAGAAATGTAGAAGTGTTAATGTAAAGAAAGACACAGAACACTGAGTTGTCATTGTGGATATTAAACTCCAGGAGTAAGCATGTGGCTATTGAACTTGAAAGTACTGTATCTTTTCTTCCTTCCTGTCTTTCTTTCTTTCTTTCCCTACTGAGAATGGGATGCAGGGCCCCGTACTTGCCGGGCACGCACCGCGCCACAGGCCCTACATACTGTATCCGTTTTAGGAGTCCAAGTTTTTCTGAGTGAAATATTCTTCGGCCTGTGCCCTCCCCCTCTTACATATAAAAATGTTTGTAACCAAGAGGCTTAATCAAATTAATAATACAATTTCTAAAATTAAACTTAATTTTTTTACTTTGTTACTTAAATCAACTAGTTCAATGACTATAAAGTTAGAAGGAAAGATACAATTTGAAGGGATTTTGAAAAGTAGGTAGTTATGTATTTATTGTACATTTTACATTCTGTTCGGTCTGATACCATAAAGGTTTACCTTTTGTTTTTGTTTCTTGAGACAGGGTCTTGCTAGGTAGTTCAGGCTGGCCTTGAACTTGGAATCCTCCTGCCTCAGCCTCCCACATGCTATAGTGTACATCACCACAGCCCACTTAGGTTATTTGTTTTTTAACAATGAAGAAATGATTGAAAACAGTCACTAGGTGTGATGACACGGGTCTGTAATTCCAGCACTCAGAGGACTGAGGCACAAGGATCACTGTGTGAGTTCATTCAAGGCCATCCTGGGTACACAATGAGTTCAAGGCCATCCTGAAACAAACTACATAGTGAAACCCTATCTCATTTTTTTTTTCCCTTGGTTTTTTGAGACAGGGTCTCACTATGTAGTTGAAACTGCCCTGGAACTCACTGTGTAGCCCAGGTTGGTCTTGAACTCACAGCAGTCCTCCTGCCTCAGCCTCCGGAGTGCTGGGATTACAGGCGTGCGCCACCACACTCAGCCCTATCTCATTTTTAAAAAAGAAATTCAAATAGTAAATTTTATTTTATGTATTTTACCATACATGAAGGACTTTCACACTTAGGGAATTATACAAATACTACTTGAACTGATAGAAATACTTCTTAAATAATCTTACTGGTCACTAATAGGAGAAAGGTTATAGATGCAGTGGAGTGTTAAACAGTAATTTCCACAACTGAGGTATGTGCATGGAACAACCTACAAATCCCACTTCTTTGTGAAAAAAAAAAAAAAGATAAATGCAAATACAATGAACTTTCTGTTTATGTAAAAAATGGAGCAAAAATGGGGTGTGGTGCCTCACACCTGTAACTCAAATACTCTAGGAGGCTGAGGCAGGAGGACTGCAAATTAAGCCCAGCCTGACCAAGCCAAAACTTATCTCAAAATAAAAAAAGGGATGAAGCTCAGTGTGAAGGCCCTAGGTTCAATCCAAAGAACTAAAAAAAAAAAAAAAAAAAAAAAATAGGTACAAAAAAAAACTAAAAAAAAAAAAAAAAAATCAAAACCCCAAGGGCCAGGGATTTAGCTCAGTGGTTCCGCTGTCTGCCTCGAAAGCACAAGGGCCCAAGTTCCATCCCTGGTACAACAACAAAATGTAGTATACATATATTTTTAGGTGACACAAATCAGAAAAGATACTTTCCTCTAGGTAAGAAATACTAAGGATCTGACTTAAGGACAAAGCTTGTCTTTTTTTTTTTTTTTGGTACTGCGGATCAAACTGCGGACCTTGGGCTTGCAAGGCAGGTAGCAGCACCACTGAGCTAAATCCCCGGCATTTGTCTTTATTTATTTATTTATAAGATGGTCTCACTCTGTATTTGAGGCTGGTTTTGGTAGATGAGGCTGGCCTTGAACTCACTGCGATCCTCCTGCCTCAGCCTTCCAAGTGCTGGGATTACAGGTGTGCGCCACCACACCCCGCTAACATTGTTTCTTCTAAAGAAGCTAAGTTCTGAATAGTTTCTATAGAAGTATTTGTTCTGATGACATAAAGCCACTTAATTATGAAATATTTCAGGTATGTATAAAAGTTATTAAATTGAGAAATATGTTTAGATTTGTAAAAATTTCACATTTTCAATAGGTGTTCATGTTTTGATGTCTCTATAGTTAATGAAAGGTAAGAAGATCACATATATTTTTACAAGCAAAGAACGAGATCATGTGGTTACGTTTGCCTAAAGTAAAAATGGAAGTTCTGTCTTCTGGTAATTTGGAAGTGCCATGCTAAAATCTTCCTGCAAACCTCTTTCCATCCAGGCTGGAGGCAAAGCTGGAAAGGACAGTGGGAAGGCCAAAGCCAAGGCTGTGTCACGCTCACAGAGAGCTGGGCTGCAGGTAAGGGAGCCCCTCGAGGCTGGAGGTGGGTCACTAGTGATGGGGAGGCTCCCGTTATTACGGACCCTTAGTGATGGGGTGATCGGCCATAAAATCTGTAACAGCAGGTTGCAAAGAGGTCTTGATGAACGGGTTATTTTGTTCTGTTACAACCCGCTCTTTCGAGATTATAATTATGTTCCTGGTCCTTTTATAAATGGTATCATATTAAAGTGTTTTGTGAGTTTTCTTTGGAAGGTGCTTGCAGTGGTACATAATTATCAGGATGAGCTACATTTCAGGTCCTCCGTTTGTCAGCGGCCTCAGTTTTAGACGGAGTGATATTCTCAGAACCACAGAATGTTTTCATACTTGGCCCATTGGAATTGGCACAGCTTTAACCCACACACTTAGTATTTTCTGGATAAGGGAGAGTTACTCTATGCACATAAGAAACACTTTCAAACTGGAAGCTTGGAGACTGGCTGCCAGGGTTGGATTTTGTGCTTGCGGCCAGGGCAAGGCCTGACTGACCAGGTGACATGGGCCGGCAGCCCTGGCGGGAGGGGACCGGAACGGACCCTTGTGTGTGCGTCCTGTGGATGCTCCACTAGAGCTGACCTCATGCATCTTTAATTTGAAGCACGATGGGCGCCAGCTGGAGGTTACTGTGGTAAAACATGCAGAAGGTGAGTAGAACAGCACAGGCTGAGAGAAGCCAGAAGTTTATCAAAGCCTTAGCACTTAAGGGACATGAGTTTGTACAAGGGCCGCGAAATGGAGAATTGTAGGTGGAAGCATTTTGCATTTCACCAAAACAGGCACAGGAAAGTGTCCAGAAGTTGAAAACCCAAATCCTACTTTCTGAGAGTGGTAACAGGATCACCGTCTGAGATAACTTCTCACCCAGTGCCGGGTGGAGCCCAGGCCCTCGCACACCAGACGGGGGCTGCACCAGCTGCTTCCAGGCCCGACCTAGCACAGCGTATGTCCCTGTGCCCTCAGAGTCCTTGGATGTGACTGACATTGTGGAGTAACAGGGCTCAGACCATGGCATAGCTGTTCAGTGCTGTGTTCTTCTCCTGTTCTAAATACGGGTTTTTGGTTTTTGGTTTTTGTCTTTGTTTTGTTGTAGTACTGGAAGTTGGACCCAGGCCCTCAAATATGCTAGGCAGGGCCATACCACTGAGCTGCACCCCTGCCTGATTCCTAGCCACAGCTGACTGCTGTCACAGCCTGGGACTCTTGGTCTCATACACAGTGCTCTGAGAGAAAGCCAGCTTCCCCACACGTGCGGTCCTTGTTGCTGGGGAGGCAGAGGCAGCAAGATCTTAGTTTCAGGTCAGCCTAGGTAACAGGGAACACCACAAGACCCCAATTTAAAAGAAGGAAAAGGGCTAGGCATGGTAGTGCACACCTGTAATCCCAGCAGTCAGGAAGCTGAGGCAGGAGTAGCATGAGTCCAAGGCCAGCCTGGGCTACGAAGTGAGTTTGAGGCTTGTGTACACTGAAGAGTGAGACCCTGTCTCAGATCCCCTCCACCTCTAGAAAATAAGAACCACCTGTGTCTGGGAAAGCTGCAGAGATGCTTCAGAGAGTACTGCGTACCAGACAGTGGGCCAAAGGACATGGTGTGGAGCTGGCCCTCAGGGGTGCTCTTCTCATCGAGAATATCTAGAAGTGGAATAAATTTGGGAACTAAAATGTCAGTGTTGGACTTTGAGAAGGGCGTTTATCAGACACCAGATTTGGGTAGTGATCCTCCTGCCTCCCCAGTATGCAGGATTACAGGCACACACCACTGCACCATCTAGGGTGTATTTGTGGGTTCTGCCTTTGAAAAGGAGGCATCGAGGCTCACTGCATGCAGCATCTGGATGTGTGAAGTTGTAAGGCAGGGTTTCAGAAGGAAAGGCGCCCATGGAAAGGAAATGGGCAGCGAGAAGTCTGGGGTGGCAAGGGTACAGCTCCGAGAAGAGCACGCACTCAGCACATGAGAGGCCCTGGCTGAAACCATAGGAAAGAAAAGTTGGAGAGAAGAAGGGCGGAGAGGAGCAGGATGAAGTTCTCCGCAGGTGGGAAAGCCCCTCCTCTGTGGACAGCCAGGCCAGGCATGGTGGCAGGAGGGTCACAAGTTCAAGGCCAGCCTGGGCCCTGGAGACCCTGTGTGCACACTCCAGTTTGACAAAAATGTAAAAGACTTTTTTTTTAAAGCTACCAGAAAACCTCCTGGCCCGGAGTGTAGCTCAGTGTTTCAGTGTCTGCCTGGCAAGCATGAGTGCCTGAGTTCGATTCCTGGTACCAAAACAAAAGGAAAACCTCCTGAAAGTGAGGAAAGCAGAGGGTCAGAGGAAGGTGGTGGCTGTCGTGTGACTCTGCCGCCCAGGGCTGTGAGCTGTGCTGTACCATCATGGGGCGGTGTGCAAGGTCACCAAAGCCTGCCCTGGCTGTATGCAGCCTGCCCATTTGCAGCTGGACTTTTAATTGCCAAGTAGATTTGGTTTCCAATATGAGTGAGCAGGTTTTCATTATCTTATGCTCACTTGTGTAAGCCTTGCTCACAGTGGCGAGGCTGCTCAGGCCCTGCAGTGTTTCCCATTGAGACGTCTCTTTTCCAGTTTCCTGTGGGCCGCATCCACAGACACCTGAAGACTCGCACCACCAGCCACGGACGGGTGGGTGCCACTGCTGCTGTCTACAGTGCCGCGATTCTGGAGTACCTCACTGCTGAGGTTTGTGGGGACAGGAGTAGGGAGGGCTCTGAATCAGCTGTGGGGACACACCTGTAATCTTAACACCCTGGGAGGATGGGCAGGTTCAAGCCCAGCCTGGGCAACTAAGTGACTTATTGAGACCCTGTCTTAAAGTTGGGGATGGGGTGAGGCTCAGTGGAAAAGCCCTGGGTTCAGTCCCCCGTGCTGCCAAAAAAGCTCTAAGCTGACTAACTGTAAGTCCATGATGTGTATTTCCAAAAGACATGAGTTAATCGGGGAGGGGGTGCTGAGGATCGAAGTCAGGACCTTGCACTTGCCAGGCAGGTGCAGCGCCACTGAGCTGTCACTGGCCCAAGACATTGGTAATTTTTAGTAGCTGTTTTAAATGCATCTTGTCAGCCTGTAACCCAGTGCCAGTGCTAGATAGAAGCTGGGCGCGTTTATCTTCATAGTTACATGTACACAGTCCAGTCAGCAGACTGTGGCAGTCCGGTGTGGCGTCTAAGTTTATGGAGATGGGTGATGTCACAGGTTACAGTCCTAATTGTGTGCTTATGCAACTGAGTTTAACCTTCAGGAAGAGAAGTTATTCGCACAAGAGCTCTTAACTCTTGGTCTTAGGCTCCATTTTCCCCATCTCTGTCCCCCCTGAGGAAAACGAATAGGAGGCGGGAGCCTCCTTCAGCCACATTCCCGAGCAGGAAGCAGGTGGTGGAGACCCCACCAGTGGAAGGGGGCGGTCAGGGGCCAAGCAGAACCATTCACTTTCAACTTTGTGTCCGTCACTTTGCTGGCGCTTCCTCACCCTGACCTAGAGACTTGCAGGGGTCGCCATTGTCCCGTCCTGTGTGGGCTGCATGCTAATAACTGAGAAGCTCTTTCCTTTTCAGTCCTACACTAGTGTTGTTTAGCTACAGACTCTAGAAAGATGTTTATTTCATTTACTAATGCTGAGGCATAGTATTCTGGGGTTTTTTGGGGTTTTTTTTGGTACCAGGGATCCAACTTGGGACCTTGCACTAGCAAAGTAGGTGGTAGAACTACTAAGCTAAAGCCCCAGCCCTGTTTTTGTTTTTTTTGATACCAGGGATCGAACTCAGGAGTTTGTGCTTGCAAAGCAAGCATGGTACCACTGAACCTACATCCCCAGTCCGAGGCACAGTATTCTGGCTCCTGTTCAAGTGCCATCCAAACTGCCTTTTGTCTTTATGTTTTTGCACTACCAGGGATCAAGCCCAGGGCCTCGAACATGCTTGTCACGTGCTCTACAGCTGAGCTGTGACCCCAGCAACCACCCCTTTTTTAAAGACAAGGCTTCACTAGCTGGGTTGTTGGTGGTGCATGCCTGTAATCCCAGCCCTCGGGAGGCTGAGGCAGGAGGATCGCTGTGAGTTCGAGACCAGCCTGGGCTACATAGTGAGTTCCAGGTCAATCTCAACTACACAGTGAGACCCTATAGGTCTCAAAAAAAAAGAAGACAAGGTCTCACTGAGTTGCCTGGCTGCCCTTAAATCTGGGATCCTTGGGCCTCAGTCCCAGCCCCAGTAGTCAGGAGTAATGTGTCTGTCTCCCTGCCCAGCCAAGCTCTCAACCCCCTCCCAGGAACTTCTGCCAGACCTTAGTTAAGTCATAATACAGTGGCCAAATTCAAGTGGGCTCTCTGCCCATAAGTAGATGAATGGATAAAGAAAATGTAATGTATATACACAGTGGAGGTCCCGCCATAAAGAGGACATTTGGGTCATTTGTAAGAAAATAGATGCATCTTGAGACAAAGTTAAGTGAAGTAGACAGAAGGTTAAGTAGCACATAGTTTCTCTTCTATGAAGAGCCCAAAATATATATAAAGACCAAAATAAAAGATGATAAGAAACAGGAAGTGGCCAAGAGTGGTGGTGCACACCTGTAATCCTAGCATTTACGAGGCTGAGGCAGGATCACAGTGAGTTCAAGGCCAGCCTAAACTATATATTGAGACCCTGTCTTGAAGAGAGGGGTAGCTCAGTGGCACTGCGCCTGTCTCATAAGCTCAAGGTCCTGAGTTCAATCCCCAGTACCAAAAAAACAAAGTTATGAAAGGTGGCGTGAGGGGAGAAATAAGCAAACAGAGTAGACTTTGTGGAGATAGGAAAGATTTAAGGCTAAAAAAGGTTAGGGTTGCACAGGCTGGGGATGTAACTAGATAGAGCATGTACCTAGCCTGTGTTGTGAGACCCTGGGTTCAATCCCCTGTACCAAAAAAGATTTTTTGGGGGGGGTACTGGGGATCGAACTTGGGCCCTTGTGCTTGTGAGGCAGGCGGTGGGACCACTGAGCTAAATCTCTGGCCCGAAAAGATTTTTTTTAAATCAGAGTATTTTTAAAGCAGTCAACATATTCCAGATATTTAAATTTGGAGTTTTAGTCATTCAGAAGAGGCAGAATGCTGAAATCTAGGCCAAGAGCTTAGGGCAGCGGTCACTTTCCAGTTTTAGGGTTGCCCTGGAACCACTTGGAGATCACACACAAGTACTGGCATTGGGAACCATTAAAATTTAGCCATTAAGGGAAATGGATGACACATAGCAAATCACCCATGGATATATGAAGACAGGACTTTTCTCAGTGCTCACCGAGGATCCTTGGCCAAGACACAGCATCCCTTGTTCTTACCGTTGGTGCCACGCTCTGTAGAAGTGAGCTTTTGCTTCGTTGCTTGCTGCTGCAGAGGAATGCAAAGGAAACCGGACGCCGAAGCGAGCAGTACTGGATCCTGCAGCAGTAGGAGGCAGCGGCCCAGCTTCTGTGCATGCTGTGTGGTGTACAGACGATGGCCTGGTCTTCTGGGTCCTGACCGGAAGCAGCCTGAGCCCTCCCCTCAGGCCTGCATTGGTCTCTTGTCTTCCGGATGCCCACAGGTGCTGGAGCTGGCAGGGAACGCGTCAAAGGATCTAAAAGTCAAGCGCATCACCCCGCGTCACTTGCAGCTCGCCATCCGTGGGGATGAAGAACTGGATTCCCTCATCAAGGCGACCATAGCCGGGGGAGGTACGTGTCACTTACCAGTACTGTCCCCTGCTGTGTGGAGCAGTGGCACTGTGCACTTGAGACACTAACAGGAAGTGTATCAAGCTTGGATTCCATATTAATGATCCAAATATTTTTCTTTTTGTAAGCATATGTTATTTTATTTTAGCCAGTTCTGTCTAAATTTCATAAATGAGCTGGGCATGGTGTACATCTCTGATCCCTGCAACTCTGGAAGGCTGGAGCAGGAAGATCACAATTTTTGAGTGCTGTCTGGGCAATTTAGCCACTTAGTGAAGGCGCATCTCAAAATTGAAAAAAAACACCAGTCAGAGTGGTACACGCCTGTAATCCCAACACTCAGAGCCTGAGGCAGGATTGCCCTGAGTTTAAGGCCACCTGAACTACATAGCAAGACCCTATCTCAAAAAAAATTTTTTTTGTGGGACCGGGGATTGAACTCTGGTCCTTGTGCTTGCAAGGCAAGCAGTGGAATCACTGAGCTAAATCCGTGGCCCTTTTTAATGTTTTTTAAAGTACCGGAGATGTAGCTCAATGTGAAGGGCCTAGATTCAATTCACAGTAATAGTTAAAGCTTAGTGTTTAAAGTACTTCCTGTACTTTTTAAATTATGTTTTCAGCAGGCATGGTGACACGTGCCTATGATCCCAGCACTGGGGAGGCTGAGGCAGGAGCACTGCTGTGAGTTGGAGCCCAACCTGGGCTATATATAGTGAGTTCAAGGCCAGCCTGCTCTACAGAGCAAGCCCCTGCCTCAAAGGGGAAAACAAAAAAATTTGAAAACCTGATCTTAAGTAATTGCTTAACATGATAACCTGTTAAGGGCTGAAATAATGGAAATGGGTCAGGATAAATGTGATAGAAGTTCTTGTCTTTGTTAAATCATTGTAGAACTTCACAAAAGCTGTGGTTATGCTCTTAAAATGCACATAAAATGGGTTTCTCTGACATACCATGCTAGCTGGGCTCACCATCCTCTGCAGGTCAGAAGGGGAAAGGTGACTCGGAATTTCTCTGTGTAATTGGTCTTTTGGCTGGTGCCACAAAAGTGTTAAAATACACTACACCCAGCTGAAGAGTTTCAGTAATAATTTTTAAATTTTCTTTCTAGGTGTGATTCCTCACATCCACAAATCTCTGATTGGAAAGAAGGGACAGCAGAAAACTGCTTAGGGCTGTCACCAGCCCTCTTCCTCCCATCCGTCCCTGTACATCTCCGGATAGAAGACAGCAGTGGGGACACGTGGCATTTTTAAAACAGTTAAATGGAAATGCATAGACCGTGCTGTAGACATAAAAAAACATTGGTCTGTTCTTAGACTCCCAAGTTTGATAAAGTACCTTTCACGTGGTTACAGTTGTGTGTCCATTGGCTAGGTTTTTCCCATGTTTTATACAAAAATGGAATTGATAAACCATTTTTTACAAAATTAAAATGTCTCAAAACTGTTCTGTTGATATATTGGAAATACTTTGCTCAGACTTTGATATTTTCAAAATAATTTAAAATTAATTTGTCTCAAAACTGTTCTGTTGATATATTGGAAATACTTTGCTCAGACTTTGATATTTTCAAAATAATTTAAATTGGGCATGATGGCGCATACCCGTAATCCCAGCACTCAGGAAGCAGGAGGATCCCAAGTACAAGGACAGCCTGAACTACACAGTGAGACCTTGTCTCATTAATTAAAAAAAAAAAAATTAGAGTTGGGGAATAAGATTTCCATGGTGTGTTGAGTTTCAGGAGCCATTGGTTTGTGAGTGGGGAACTGGGGTAACACACCATGATTTTTATCACATGCCACTCTAGAAAGAACTCCGAGAACTAATGTCCATATTGAACACAGTTCCATCTCAGCCGAAAGAACTCAGGGCACTGTGAGCTCCTGGGCCCTGAAACACTGCACCAAACCTGCCTTCGAGTACCGCAGGCAGCTGGTAGCTCAAGAGACCGCTACCGGAAATGATGACCCAGTGGATGGGAAACAGCTATGCTGGCTCCAAACCTAGGTCGTCCTGACCACACCCAGGCCACACTTGCTGAAAATTGTTCGGTTGATTGTATTTTTCTTCCTTTGGCTTAAAAGTCCACCTCTTGGTGTTTTGATATAGTAACATACTGAAATTTGAACAGTCTGTTTGGTTTTTTTGAGACAAGGTCTTGCTACTGTAGCCCAAACTGGCCTTGGAACTTGTAGCAATCCTCTTGCCTCAGCCTCCCTAGTGCTGGGATTACAGGTATGCACTACTGTATCTGGCTTTGGCTATACAATTAAAATTTTGTCAGTTTCTAAGTAACATAGGATTTAAGTTAATTTACTAGTTAACTCAGAAAATTTTATTTTTTTGCCCAGAAGTCTACATTTCACAAGTATTGATTTGGTTTTTTTTTTGGGGGGGGTACTGGGGATCGAACTCTGGACCTTGGAGGAAGTCTTGATGCTTTATAGTATTAACACCATCAAAACAAAGTCCATGTTTTCATAGCAATTGTCACGAATGCACGACAGTAAAGACGACACTGCTCACAGGGTCAGGCCTGTATGTGTCCACCCCGACCCCTGCCAGCTGTGCTTCGCCCTGCCCCAGCCTCCCCAGGTAGATAGCTGAGTCCTGTCATCAACACAGTACTTTCATGTCTGTGTGCCTTAGGGAAGTCCTCAGATATGTCTTTAAAGATGTGATACTTGAGAAACAGCCACAGCACCACTGTCATAGTTAAAAGTATCATAGCCACATGTGGGGTCACATGTATCCCAGCATGGGAGGCTAAGGCAGGGGGATCTCAAGTTCTAGCTTAGTCTGAATAACTTCATGAGACTTTGTTTCAAAATTAACAGTTGGGAAGCTGGGTGTGGTGGTGCACCCAGAAGGCTGAGGCAGAGTTCAAGACGAGCCTGAACTACATAGTGAGTTCCAGATCAGTCTCAACTACATAGTGAGGCCCTGTATCAACAAAACAACAAATAAAATTAAGATCTTGGGACCAGGGATTTAGCTCAGTGATCTTCTGCCTGCTTCGCAAGCCCAAGATCCCAAGTGTAAATCTCTGGTATTAAAAAAAAAAAAATTAAGAGCTGGGGTTGTGGTTCATTGCAAAGGCCTTGACTCAACTCCCAATACCACACACACAAAAAAGACCAGTCAATATTCAATTTTTTCCTCTGTGTTTGGTACCGGGGATCAAACTCAGGTTCTTGCATTTGTGAGGCAGGTGGCAGAACCACTGTGCTAAATCAGCCCTCCTTTTTTTTTTTCTGTAGTACCAGTTGGATGCAGGGCTGTCTCACTGAGCTGTTTCTCCAGCCCCTTTTGTATTTATCTTGGGACAGGATTACCCCGAGTTGCTAAATTCCCCAGACTGCGCTCAAATTTGGCCTGGCTTGGTAATTTTTTTCTTCTAAGTTTTGAGTGAGGATCAAGACAAAATCTGTCTTGTATTTGTTCATACTGAGCTGAGTGTGGTGGTACACGACTGTAATCCCCACTCTGCAGAGGCTGTGACAAGCAGAAGGCTCTCAAGTTCAAGGCCAGCCTGGGCTACAGAGCGAGACTGTGTCAAAAAAACAGGGCCAGGAATTTAAATCAGTGGCGCCACGCCTGCCTCACAAGTGTGAATTCCTGAGTTCAATCCCTGATACCAAAAAAAGTAAACTGATGTCCACCCCCACGTGAGGCAAACAGAAGGGACAGGAGCTGGGCCTGAGGTGCCACATGGATGCAGCCAGGTGTTGGGAAGAGATCCTGCGATCTGCATGAGAGACGAGGCCAGCCACTGCCTGATCTGAGCTCTGACCCAGAGTCTGCGTGGGGCCCAGCATTGTGGCGACCGCACAGTGCAGGCTGTGCAGAGATTTATAAGCCATTCCTAGCAGAGGCCTAATTCTCTGGGCAGGTACTGAGCAGACCTGGAGTCCGATGGGCCTGGACTCAACGGCTGCCGCTTCTGGCCTGTGTGGCTGGCTCTCTTCCTTCTCTGCACTAAAGGGCACAATTACCCTACAGTGCTGCACCCCAAGAGTCCCAGATCCATGAAAGCCCACACAGCTTTTTTATTTTCAGTTTTTTGTTTTGGTTTTTTTTTGGAGACAGGGTCTCACTATGTAGTTGAGACTGACCCAGGCTGGTCTTGAACTCACAACAATCCTCCTGCCTCACTCAGCCTCCCAAGTGCTGTGATTACAGGCATGTGCCACCATGCCTGGCAGTCAGCATTTTGTTTTGTTTTCTACCACAGAACTCAGAACCTTGAGCTTGTGAGGCAGGTGGCAGAACCACTGAGCTAAATCCCCGGGCCTCGTTTTGGTTTTTTTTTGCGGGGGGGGGGGACCGGGGATCGAACTTGGGTCCTTGAGTTTGCAAGGCAAGCAGCGGAACCACTGAGCTAAATCTCTGGCTCCCTGGTTTTGGTTTTCTGAGACAGCCTCTTTAAGTAGCCTAGGCTGGCCTGGAACTCATGGTGAACCTCCTGTTTCAGCCTCTTGAGTGCTGAGAATACAAGCATGTGCCTAGTCAGCTCTTAAGCAAAGCCTGTATTGCTAAAACTGAAAACACAGGCAGGTTAAACTCAGAATGCAGAATGAGGCCAGGTGTGGTGGCACACACCTGTAATCCCAGCACTCAGGAGGCTGAGGCAGGAGGATCTCTGAGTTTGAGACCAGCCTGGGCTACATAGGGAGTTCCAGGTCAGTCTCAACTACATAGTGAGACCACTTGTCTCAAAAAACAGAGTGCAGAATGTGAGGGCCAGGGATTTATGTGGTGGTGCTGCCTGCCTGCCTGGAAAGCACAAGGTTCCGAGTTTGATCCCTGCTACCAAAAAAAAAAAAACGCAGAATGTGAGCTGGGTGTGGTGGTGCACACCTGTAATTCCAGCCTTCCGTGAGGTTGAGGCAGGAGGATCACAAGCTCCAGTCCAACCTGGGCAACTCAGCAATGTAGTGAAGTCCTATCTGCAAAAGTAAGGGCTGGCAGGCTGGTGATTTAGCTCAGTAGCGACGCTCCTTCCTTGGAAGCACAAGGTCCTGAGTTTGATTCCCAGTACCACAAAAAAAAATTATTAAAAATAACAAGGGCTGGAGATGTAGCCCAGTCAAAGGCCCTGGTTCAGTCCCCAGTCCTGTTCCAAAAGGAAGGGAAGGAGGAAGCTGCCTCAGGCAGCTGCTCAGAAGGCTACTTCAGAAGCACTCAAGTCGGTGCCAGCCGTGCAGTGCATCTGTCAGGACGGTGGCAGTGAGTCACCTCGGGTGACTCCTGTGTCCCCAGACTGGAAGTGCGTCACAGCGCCCACGAGGAGCACCCCGTCCCTGCAAGATGTGCAAGCTGGTAGAGGAAATAGCTATATTAAAATAGGGGTGCCTGGCAACTGTGTTTGTTCATCTTGTCCCCAGGATGCAAATGCTGTACTTAGAAAACTGCAAATTACTATGTGTGTCATGAATATGAAAGGAACACATGGGAATTAGCGAGTCCAAGAATATGAACTCTTTGTCTGCCAAAGACCTGTACTTTAGATGGGACAGACTCCCATGAGCTCTGGGGGGACATCTGTACAGATGGCCACTGCTGCTGCAGCTGGTCATAGAGCAGACGGACTGGTTCTCATCAGCGTGGTAGCACATGCCTGTGATCTCAATACCTGGAAGGCTGAGGCAGGAAGATCATCACCAAGACTTTGGGGCCAGCCTGGGCTACATAGTGATCCTGGCTCAAAAAAAAAGGAACAATATTCCATTTTATGGACAAATGGGATGGGATGGCCCACTAACAGGGTTCTCACACTATTTTTCCACTGATATTTCATTACCTGGATTAATATATTATGTAATAATGAAATTGAATATTAAATGTTAGTCTGTTTTCCAAATCACAGGAAGAACAAGCTAACCGATTATCTTTGTCAGTTCTAGGTCTTTCCTTAAGATTTTTCCTGTATCGCTCTTCAGCAAAAACTCAGTGAGCAGCACAGCGAGGACTCTGGGCATTTGACCAGGTGTCTGAGTGACATGGTCTCACTGTGGCCAGTGGTCAGGTTTTCTGCTGTTGAACTTGCTCCTAGTTTATAGGACGGAATGAAGTATGTTCCGTGGGAAAAGAGGGTGGCTAAGCTAAGCCATCTCCAGAGAATCGCTTTCCACTCCTGAAGCTCTCTGACCAGTCCCGGTCATGCCGTGGCCTCTGCAGACCTAGGTTGGGGCCATTTGCCACTTTCCACCTCCACAAAGGACGGGATCCTTAGCGTCCTGCAGACCAGAACAGGCTCTGACACGCAGGGTCACACACCTGGGCCCAGTAGGGACCTAGCACAGACTGCTGAGCTCCATGACTTAGAATGGCTCCCTACTGTAGACAGGTGAGGCCACTGAACATTTCTGTGGCTTGTGTGGATTTCTTTTCACCTCCTGACTAGGTCTAAGAAGTAAAACATCAGCCTTACTTTACAGGTGAGGGAATTCAGATTCCAAAACATTGGGGGGCCGAGCCCAAGCTCACTTGGCTCCCATTGGTAGCAGGGCTGGAGTCTGAATGCACATCAGTCTGGTTCCCAAGCCCAAACCTGCCAGTCCAGAAAGGCTCATGGCTCATGGGTCCACAGAGGCCAAGGCCAGGCAGTGCGCTTAAGGCATTGTTCCTGTGAGCTTGAAGCTGCAACAGAAACTGTAAAGGTGTCAAAAAGCCAAGCTGTAATAATCCCAGCACTTGGGAGGCTGAAGCAGGAGGGTTGCCCTGAGGTCGAGGCCAGCCTGGGCTGCATAGGTAGCAACATCCTGTTTCAAAAAATTTTTTAAAATTCCACACTGTTTTCATGCATTCTCTGGGCAGCATAGCCCGATGGGTTCCAGAAGACTCAAAAGGACCTCGCAAGTTTGAGGGGGAAGGCTATACTTACATAGCAGCTGCAGGCCCATCATTGGTCCAAAGTCACAAGTGCTGATTGGTTTGAATTTGAGTCTGCCAATTGGACTGAACTTAAGTAGGCTGATTGGTCCTGATTCAAACTGGTCTAAAATTAGCCCTTCTGACTTGAGCATGCTGATTGGTCCAAATTTAATTGTACAGTTTGGTTCAAATATAAACCCAGAGAGTAGAGGCCTAGTGCAGGACAGGCCAGCTGTAGGTGTCCTGGGAAGAGGGACCAGTTGTCTCAGGAGATTCCTCAGTCCCTGCCCCGCTTGTTCTCCTTCCCCCTCTACTTGCTTCCTCTGGTTGATCATCTGCTACAGCTGGGAGTTCCAACCTCACAGGTTCTCTTGTCCACTCAGCTCTAGTAGTCGTCGCCTAACCAGGTGCAACCCTAAGCTAACCCTCGTGATGGTTGGTCCCTAAAATGTGTCCCTTCCAGCCCATCCAACCCAGCTGCTGTTTCCTGTCCCTGCCAGGTTCATTCAGGAGGGAAATATGTGAAGCCACTTCCTCTAGGTGCCCTGTCCCCAGGTCTGGTTCCCCAGCAGGGGCTATGACTTATCTCTTCCTCTGGTCTAGTGCTGAGTCTGCCATTTACTAAGGGCATCTATTAAGACTTTTTTTTTTTTTGTACTGCAGATAGAACTCCGGACCTTGTGCTTGTAAGGCAGGTGGCAGAACCACTGAGCTAAATCCCCAACCCTATTTTTTTTTTTTTTGGACATAGGGTATCACTATGTAGTTGAGACTGACCTGGAACTCACTATGTAGCCCAGGCTGGTCTCGAACTCACAGCGATCCTCCTGCCTCAGCCTCCCAAGTGCTAGGGTTGACAGATGATTAGATGAGCCTGGGTCTGAACTGACATCTCATTCTGTTTCAGACTTGTGAGAGCCTGAGCAAACACAACCAAGGGGAAAGGACAGCACAGCAATAGCTCACAGAAGCCCACAGCATTCCCAGAGTGCTGTGCCCCTGCCTGAGGTCCCCAAAGTTGTGGTTAGGCCCACGTGGCTGCTGCAAGCCCTGAGTTCACAGCCTGCTTAACACTTTCAAGAAAATGAAACCCCTCTTTCCTCCAGCCTGGCCCAGAGATAGGCCCTTGCCCTCCCCTTTATTCTTTTCTTTCAATGTAATGTGTAAATCTAAGATGGATCCCGGGTGGTAGGGAGACAACTGTAAACCATCCAAATCTTAGATGAATTACACAGTAACCAAGCTAATTCTAAAAAGCCCATCCTAGGGGTGAGGGAACTGTTAATATAGATGGTTACAGCTGCCCCACCACCACCACTTCCTGGGTGCAATGAGGTACAGGTAAGCCCAGCCCTCCAGAACCAACCCTACCCTCTCCCTTCAAGCGGCCATGCTTTCACTGCCCACCCCTGGCCCTCCTCACAGGCAACTGTGCCCTCCCATCCTCGCTCCTCACCTTTTCAAAATTCATGTTTGAGGGACACAGGTGGTGGAGGTTGAACGAACTGGTCACCCGTTAGTGAAGAAGGGTCCTGCTGGGAGCAGGTGGGTGCATGAGTGACGCAGCACTCCGGGAGACGGGAGAAAAGGGTCTCCAGACTGGCCTGAGAAAGTCAGAGCACACAAAAGGGCAGGGTATGCAGCTCAATGCTCAAGCCTGGGTTCAATCTCCAGAACCACCCAAAACTGAGAACAGGTGTGGTATCACAGACTTGTAACCCCAGCACGGGGGAGGCAGAAGCTGGAGGATCACCAGGTTAGCCTGGGATACAGTGAGTCCAGGGCCAACAAAAAAAGCACCTCAGTGTCCACCACCTATGGAAACTAGGAAGCTTCGCGTCTAGTGGTGACTATAGTCTCTGCCCAGAACCATTTCCCTTCTACAGGGCCTTGCTAAGCCTCTGTGCTGCCTTAGGGAAGCCTCCAGGTACCAACACTGACCTGGTCCAAGACAGCATGGGTTGACCTAGTGGGTGTTGCGCTCCTGTGACCAGGTCCTTAGGTCCCAGCAGCCCTCCATCCTTCCAGGCTCCTGAACCATGACTGCCCCTCACAGGAAAGAGGCCTCGGGCCAAGGGCCTCACCGTGGCCTGAGCAGGTGCTTTCCCCAAATCCCAGCTCTAAAGTAGGTCCTTTCCCAGCAGTTTCAAACTGCTCAACTGCAGAGGTCATGGGAGCCACTCAATTCCTGACCCCAAAACACGGGGCCTGATTGAAGTCCTTAGATTTTGAAGTAATGCTCCAATAACCAAAGGGCTGCACAACTCTAATTTTATCACCATTTCCAAGACTACAGGGGCTTGCATTTCCACGCTTGAGTTCCTCTACCTCTTCACAAGCATAGCACATCTTCTCATGGTACAAGGCGAGGCTTCATGGACTGCACTCAGCTCTCAAAGAGGGAGACACCTATAGCCCCCTTGAAAACTGATTTACGTGGCTGTATCTTTCCTTCCCGAAACCCCTTTACCTAGCCCACAGCATGGGACTTTCCTGAGGTCAGGCCTTCACAAGAGCCAATGACTTAAACCCAGCACCTGGCCTGGCCTCCACAGGGGAACCCACCTCACCCCAGATCCTCCCTAGGACCCAGCACAGCTCCAACATAGAGCCAAGTTCAGTGCACACCAGGCTAGGGGTGCCCCTTCCCCACCTCTGCCAGTTCTCAGTACCCCACCCACCTTGCCATGCTCGGTGGGTCTGGAAAGGCAAAAAATATTTTGTAGAAAGCTGTCTTAGTATGTTTCCAGCATCATCACCCTTACCTAAGCAAGAACAGGCAACCGTTATTTAGTTTTTATTCATAACCATAAACTTAACTCTGCAATCCAGCTACTTTTGGAGGGGAGCAGGGGAAATATGGAACCCGAAGAACTGCAGTGAGAGCAGACATGATGGGATGTTGCGAGCAGGTTGGGTGGAGGGTGCTCTCCTGAGCTAGAGGAATGGTCTGGTGGTTGCAATACATCCAAGTTAAACGCATTAGAGCTGTCCACAGTCAGTGATGGTGATCTTCTTGCTGGTTTTGCCATTCCTGGACCCAAAGCGCTCCATGGCTTCCACGATGTTCATGCCTTCTTTCACCTTCCCAAACACCACGTGCTTGCCATCCAACCTGGAAACACAGTCATTAGTAGCAGGCACCAGACACAGAGAAGCAGCCCTGCTGTGTACCAAAGGACAAACAGGGCCCCTGCCAACCAAGACTGTCACGAGGCAGCTAACCCACGCTTCCCTTGTTAAATATTGGCTGTTACCTTTCTTTCTCAAGTAATAATCTGAAGTTTTCTATGAGCCAATCTCAAAAACAGAAAAAGGCCAACCATACACAAGTTGTACAAGGACATACTCAAGGGATTCCCCCAAGTCAAGGGCCCAGTTTCTCCCACTACCTTACTTTCTGTTACCATCCTGGCTACAGCTGTCCTTGTGCACATTCTCTTCTCACAAATGTAAACACAAGGAAAAGCTATGCCATTTCCACGTCCCTAGGACCGGTCACATGTGCTGTATCCCATGCTCACTCACCACTCAGTCTTGGCAGTACAGATGAAAAACTGGGAGCCATTCGTGTTTGGTCCAGCATTTGCCATGGACAAGATGCCAGGACCTGTGTGCTTCAGGATGAAGTTCTCATCATCAAATTTCTCCCCGTAGATGGACTTGCCGCCAGTGCCATTGTGGCGTGTGAAGTCACCACCCTACAAACATGACAGGAACCTGTCACTCCTGGCAACACAGTCAGAAAGCATGCAACGTCTACCAGGCTCACATTCTTCAACTGTGCAGAAGAGCCAAAAAGAGCAGAAATGATAGAACAGCTCTGTGGAAATGCATCCTAAAATACTCTGGCTCAATCCCCAATTAAGGGACCAACCCAAGTAAAAAGCAGTTCATTTCATACCTGGCACATGAATCCTGGAATAATTCTGTGAAAGCAGGAACCCTTATAACCAAATCCTTTCTCTCCAGTGCTCAGAGCACGAAAGTTTTCTGTTAAAAAAAAAAAATGTGTGTTTGTACGTATATGTATGTATGCGCGCGCGCACACACACACACATCTCCCTACAAACACAAATTCTTTTATTCGGATTACATGTTAAACTTAGAAAAAAAATGGAACCAACCTGCTGTCTTTGGAACTTTGTCTGCAAACAGCTATAAGAGAAAAAGGACAGTTAATCAACACCACATGAACCAAGTTTTACTACTTAGTGCTCGTCTTTAAAGGTTTCTGAATCACAAAATCATTTTCTCACTCCAGGAGAATGTTTCTTCAGTAATGACTCTGAACCCCAAATAAGAACTGCTCTTGACAGCACTAAGGGCCTGAGGAGTTGGGCTGAGAAACATGATACCCAAAGCTGTGCCAAAAATCCACAAGCAGCAATGACTTAAATAGTGAGAGACTCCTAAAAAGTGACTCAGAACTTCTCATGCATCACACCTACTTCGGGGCAAATATACAGCTTCTCAAATGTACCTCACCTCCCCCCCTCACGTGGGAGCTAAGGACAGCTAGTTATTCACGGCTCATGGGCAGTGTGGATGCCACCTGTCACCTCCCTCGATCTGTGAACACAGCTCTAGGACCAACCCAGTCACTTTTTGGGTCCCTTACCTAATAGTGGGGCAAGAAATACCGGCTTCTGATGCATCCTCCATGCACAAACATTGGGGCTAAAGACCAAAGCAACAGCCACAAACCCTTCAGGAACCTCATTTAAAAGGAGCGCTGTGTGTGAAATATTCCAGATAGTAACATCCCTGTACCTGTCTACAGTAATGCATTGATTTAGGAGTGGACCCAGGAGTGTCTGGTTTGTCAACAGGCCTCACACTCTAGCTAACCTGACACCAACCTGAGGCCCAGTCTTTTAAGGCCAAGTTTCCATCAGGGCCTCGACAATGGTCGACTCGGACTACCGATAAAGTGGGGAAGGGTGAATGGGACCTAACGTTTCTCCACACGTGCCGGGATCTTGGACGGGGCAGGCGACAGGGAAACCCCTGGCCTCACCAGGACCGCGTGTAGGTAAACTTCACTGGAACAAGATCGTGCACTCAATCTTACCACTGGTAGTGCTTTGAAAAAGTGGCTTAAGAGAAGAAAAACCCTAAGTTACGGCTGCTTCACTACACTCTAAAGCCCGCGTGTGCTGGGTTAACTGGGACACAATCTAATATTGAACTTTGCAAAGAAACACGCCAAGTAGATCAGATCCGGCAGTGAGTGCTAACCTCTGGGCGGCCACCCACACCTCGGGTGACTCCGGCAGCCGCCCGGGGCACAGGGCTGGGCCACGCCCGAGGCCTGCGGGGAGGGCG